GGATCCAAGAGGTCTCACCCTTGCCCCCGAAGTGCAAGTGAAACTTCACTGAAACAACACCTTCAACACCTAAAGCCTTGCACAAGCCCAGTCACCTCCATCCCGGTTCTGCGCTCCTCAAAGGCTTCTGCTGGGCCTCCTCGGGGAACTGCGCTCCCGGGGTGGATGCCAGCGCCTTCCGCCAGGTGGCTGTGTGTATGCATGGGCTTATGTGGGAAGCAGGTCTGGTAGAGAGAATGGCAGCAAGGAAGATCTACTTCCTGAGCGTCTCCAACGCGCCACGCTTTTTTTGAGGGTATCTCGAAGATGGGCATTTGTGGTCAGTGTACCGAAAAGATTAAGGACCTCCAAAGCTAAATCTGGCCTCAACCCGGTTGACGTAGAAGCAGGGAGAGGTCACTCAAACTCCTGTGCCTGATCTTGCGAGTGCGACTTCTCTAATGTTGATTATTGCTCGTGCTGTTCAATGCCGGACGGTGCTGGCGTGCGCGCTTGTGGCTTGCATTCTCACGACTGTACCCTTCCTACCTCAACTGCGGGTTGCAAGTTTTGCTGGCAGCCCGTGGTGGTGCAATTTCTGAGTGCTGATCCAAGGACTCCACCAGGATTATGTGGGATTCCTGCCTGCTAAGCAAGAAGGATACCGTCTCACCTTGTCTCATAGTCACTCATCCATTGTGCAGATATTCGGAGAGCTTCTGAATAATGTTGAGGTGGAGGCAGCGACCCAGGGCCAGGGAGGTCCTTCCAGGATAAGTCTAGGACATGCCTAGGACAAGCAGTAGAACAGTGCTAGAGGCTGTGTCATAGGGCCCATGTGATTGCAGGTGTGGCGTACTTGGCGAAGTCGCCCTGGATACGAAGTGGTACAGTTCGCGAGGTGGTGGTTCAAGAGCTGCCCTTCGACGAGAAGATGTACTGGTGCCCTGGCTGTAGTTCAGGGCCCCTGAACATCGGCTCTTTTAAATATGTAAAAGGCGAATTATGAATGTTCCCCTTGTAGAATTCCTACCGCTAGGTTAAGCAATCTGCTCACAACCCTTGGTCTACACTTACATATGCATGTATACACACCCTGATAGTAGTTTCCATGTTCTTTTCCATTATCTCTATATAACCCTAAACCCTATATAACCTCATTATAGTAGCTTCCATTTTCCATTATCCCTTTATGACCCCTATATTGTACCCCAATATTTGAGTATTTCTCAAACTCGTAGTCTCCCTGCAGTGAAATACTGTGATTCCAAGTAGGAGGACCCCCCAAGAAATAGATCCCGAAGGGGCTCTAATTATTGGAAGCACTAAGCTCTCAACCCTCCATGTCCCCGTATCTCCCTACATATCCCTACATAAGTTCCGACATACCCCTACATATCTCCTCAGCGCCAATATCCCCATGCAACCCCCACATCGGAAGGGGCCCGAATAACCCTAAACCCTAAACCATCCTAAACCGCTTGGAGGCGTGCTTTGCGAGCTGCCCAGCTTGGTCCAGACTTGCGTCACCGGCCAGCAACCCTACTTGGGGAGGGTGGACAATGGGGTTACGGGTCCCTGTAAAGGTTGTTTAGCGGTCATACAGGGTTATGTAGAAATATGTACAGAGTATAATGATGGAGAACGAAACGAAGAGAACATGGAAAATGAAATGGGAACCGAGAGTACATAGAGGTTACAGGGAATATGTAGTGTGGAAGCCTGAATAGTTGCTAGTAGTATTCCTTGGTTCTCTTTTTTACAGTCTGATATGTCTGAGAACACTGTTCAAATTCAACAGGCCCCTATATCAATCAAGCTTCATAATTTTCAACATCCCTATATAGTTCCGACGAGGAACCCTAGTTCTCTGCTGTCCATGCAATGAAACACTAGAGTCTTTATGGGTACCTCCATTTCTAGAACACCCTGGATAGGATCCTGAATAGTTGTCAGTATTGTTCCTGCATATTTCCTTGTAAGAAAATTGGCAGAAATCTCTTCTTTGCAGGGGCCTGCAGAATCACGAGTATTGCATGACGTTCGTCCTCGATGTTTGTCGTACAGTTCATGTTAGGCCAGTACCCTGTCCTAGACTCAACCCCCAGTCACCCGTTCTCCTGCTTCAGAATTAACAAAGGTTCTTTTTCTCGGAATTCTCATGAACACGATCCTGGTATTTGACTTTAGTTGACCCGTGGCTTTGAGGAAGCAAGGGAGCCCTTAGAATACCAACAAAAAGTCATGATGGGACCCCCCATCAATCATTTTCTGAATCCCCATGCGACCCGTATAAGCTTCCCATATCGCCGCTATAAATTGCCTAGGCAATCTCCATAACCTCCGCCAAAAGACGCAAAATCCAAGAAACCTCTGCGATTGCGAATTGGGAACTCAAGTTATAACCTGTCTGCAGCCTACAGTCCCTAGTAGTTGCCACGCAACCTTGATGTCGTATGATGTGCAGTTTTTGTTTCGGTAATAGGGAGAGAGAGAACACACATATACATGTACAAATAAATACATGTGCACACATACGTTTATGTACATATTTATGCACGTGTATGCACACATCTATCTGTCTATGTATATGTATATAGGCATATACACATATATGCATATACCCATGCATACATTCACACATACATTCACACGTACATACATACATACATACATACATACATACATACATGCATACATACTGCATGCATGCATGCATGCATACATACATACATGCATACATACAGGACGGACATGGGATTCGTGTGTGAGGGCTTTGAGTTCAAAAACGATGACACGCTCAGCAAAAACATCCGAAAAGCCATAGTGTAAACATGTACCCCGAAACTTGGAAAATCATGAGACACGCACCCGCCAGTTTTGAAAAGCAATTAAAATTTGCCCGGACAACGACTAAGAATCTTACGTGGCATAACTACCTATAGTACCATACACCAATCTCATGTGGTTCACATGTATCACTTACCCGTCCATGCCCAAAAACTGGGTTGCTGTTAAGGAAGTCAAATGATTCTACTAGAATGAGGAAACCCTATCATTTACTAAATATTCATATTATGGTAACGAAATTTGAGTTCCTTAAAAGCAACCCTCCGCAGGTGAATGGCCTGGTGGAGATCGCAATGCTGTCGGAGCACGCGGCGCCACACTCAGTGGAGGCCAACGCATGAGGCCAGGGGACGAAGGGTTGTCTCAGAGTAGGATATTCTTTGTTTTTTCCTAGGTATTAATGTTTCCCATTTCAAATCATGCCGAGTGTCGGTTTCGGAGGACCGTAAGTACCAATCTTACCAGACATAGGTGCATATCACAACTGAGGCATAACTATGTGCGCTTTCTTGGGTTCCTTTCAACACAGGATAGATTCTGTTGGGTGGAGCAAGACTTTCCGGTGTAATTGCAACCCAGTGCAAACCCATGGATAGTACAGACGGCTTAGGCAGATGGCTACTCCTCCAAGACATAATCTTCATGCCTTCAACGGCTCAACATTCAAAAAGCCTCCTCAAGTGCTATTATTATTGGCGTGATTATTCTCGCTATTTACTGTATTACTACTATTATAATTACTGTTATTACTCTTGGTGTCTGGCAGGCATTACTGTTATTACTCTTGGTATCTCGCAGGCTGGGTCTGGCCCATGTGCTGTACAGCCGCTCGCTAGCTTAGCTGACTGCGTCAAGCTTTTGCTTTCGATTCATCTCCATGTCTCGAGGTTCAAGTTCGCGTTGGGAGTTTTTTACGGCATAACTTATCCTGTGCCAACAAAAGACTTGATGCGCACAGATGTGGGAGCATGTTGAGGAGTAGAGGTTTCAAGCTTATGAGTTGGTGGCTTTGGTGGTAAGAACTGTGACAGCAGTTAGGCAGCGCCTTGAGGGAAAGCTTGCTTCTGATGGCCTACTCAAGGGCTTGTAACACTTACTGATAGAGGTCTTTCTTGGCCTTACAGCTGAGACTCTTTGTGTGGGTCCTCATACTGAGGGTCGCAGATCCCACCATTTCTTAGCAGCCTTGACTCAAATGTTGCAAGAGTTCCACAGCTGCTGCGCCGAGGATGTCTGGTCTCGGAGGCTCGCCTGGTCGCATGCTCAATGCTACGTCTTGGACCCCAAAGCCTGCTACTTCAGAGCCTTAAATCTCTAAAGCTCGCAGGTTCTTGGACATCTTAAGCTCCTGAACGCTGATACTGTCCCAACAACAAATCCCCAAGCAACCCGCTATACCTTTTTCCTTAGATATCCCTATATAACCCTTATGTATCCCCTAGAACCCCTTTGAAGGTACCTGAACCCTGAAGGTGCGTCTAGTGCTGCTGGATGACTGCTTAGCAGCAGTAGACCTCCACGTAGCCAGGGCCATCTGTGAGGAAGCCCTGCTAGGCCGGGTCCTCTAAGGGAATTATAGGGGTTACATGGGGGGACATAGGCTTTAGGGTTCCAAGGAAACTATAGGGGTTACATAGAGGAACATAGGCTTGAGGGTTTAGGGTTTCCTGAAATGGTTCTGTGTTGAGGTATCAAACGGAATTGTAAAGTACAGTAGGATATGAGGTTCTCAAGAGTCCTTGGAACACCGTAATCCTAACATGGCCGTGCACGTTGTCAGTATGACAGGAGTCTTGACTAAATGGCGAGCATGCAGGATTGGGGTAGCGATGTTGCAGGGATGAGGTAGTGAGTAACTACGTCCTCTAAGAATAGAGTCGCATCATCCGCACATCTTCATCTTGTACGGGGACTGGATAGCATATTGACGGATTTTTCAGAGGGAAGAACAAAGTAGCAAAGACACAGATAACAGCAATAAGAAGACATCACGGTAGTCTTGTTAATGTTGGCAGTGAGTGCAGCAATGCTAAATCTAAGTGCAGTTACACCTCAGCAGCCGTGAGGACAGTAAGGCTCAGAATGCAGTATGTGGAATAAGCTCAGGGTCAGGCAACCTCAAAATTCATAGAGTACCAGGTGTGCTTCTCCAGGGCCAGAGGTCCGTGGTCATGGTCATGAACTCCAACTTTGCGGCCCTTGGGACAGCTTCCCGGATTGTGAACCTAGATCAGGGAAAGGCGTCCCTCTATAACAGCATGGAGGCATGGATGGCTGACTGCTCTCAAGCAACCAGGGAGGCCTGCTTGCAAACCTTGGCGCCTGACATCCAGCCTCGGCCACCGTCGGATATGGAGAGCTGTCAATTTGCGGAGGAAGGAGGCGTCCTGGAGCTGGCTGAGCAGTCGCGTACCGGAACGCTAAGCTACAGGACCCTCACCTACTACTTCGGCTCTGGACAGCACCAAGCAGGGATAATTTTCCTGCTCTTCATTATGATGAGCATGCTCTCCATTGAGGGTCTCCGTATTTACTCGGACTACTTCATGGGCGTCTGGGCTGCGAGGGACTCTTCGAACAGTGCAGAGCAGTCGCGCAGAGACTTCCAGAACTTCTGCATGTGCCGTTGATGAAATCTAGTTCTTCATGGGGCGTATCTGGAGATTCTTGAATCTTGTAGGAGTCTGGGTATTTATAAGATTCTAAACCCTAAGCCCTAAACTTTAAACCATCATCGAAGCCAGGTGGGTTCTTCTGGCTGTTGCTGGGGCCTTCCTGCGTGGCTGGTTGGTGATTCATGTTGCGCTCAAGTCCTCAGAGAAGATCCACCACAGGCAGTCAAAGAATCCCCCTCCCCCACAATAACAGGGAGCCCTTGTTAATCGATTTGGTCCAGAAACGTTACTCCAATGAAAGGAGGCTGACTAGATGTAGCAGAGGCAGTCACTGGATTTGTTTGGCGGGTCCGTAGACGTTGCTTATGGGCTTGTCATTCTCGCCTACATTCATATGAAGAGAAGGATAGTGAGAGTAGTTTAGACTGTTCATAAGCAGAATTGGAATTCTACTCCAGCAGACCTGACACTTGAGTGAGGCTGCTGGATCAGCTGATGTCAGCACCCATTGGGCTGTTCGACACCACGCCACGGGGTCGCATCTTGGGGCACTTCTCCAAGGACTTGGATGCTGTGGATGCCCTGCTGCCCCAATACATGCTGGACTTCCTGCAGGAGCTGTCAAATTTGTTTGGGGTACGACATGGGATAAGCAGACTTGCTTGTGCTGAACCCCCACCACAAAGTCATTTATCATTTATCAACCTCTGAAGAAAACTCCCAAGAGGACATAACAATGCTGCTGGGCATTGTTGTGGTGTGCGTTTGGTCCACTCCGCTTGCAGCGGTTGCCGTTGTCCCAGCCGGGATCTTGGTTGACATGGCCATGCCCCTCTTCACGCCTTCAACTGTCAGAGGTCTTTCTCTTCCCACTGTCGCCTTGCGTCACGTTCTGGAACCTGATAAGCTTTCGCAACGGATGATGCCTAGCGGGCTCGCAAGATTTCCCTGACTAGTCAGTGTTCATCAGCCTCAGGTCTTGTTCAGCTTCTACAAGATCCGCCACTTCTTTAGCCGTCAGTTGCCCAGTGCAAGCCGGAGCCATTTCTGTGGAAGATGGCCGCTGAATTCTAGGTGGCAAACAATTTGGCCAAGAATGGAAGTCTGTCTATCATCACCATCATCTTCCCCATCATTATCATCACCACCACCACCACCA